TGGGGGTGGGGGGTGGGGTGGGAGGAAGGGGTTCAAGAGCTTTATCTCACCTTTATCCCGTTGGGTATTTTATCTTTGTCCAGTGGGGTGTTTTACCTTTGGGGTGTCTCACCTTTGTCCCATGGAGTGTCTCACCGTTGTCTTGCAGGGTGTCTTGCCTTTGTCCTATTGGGTGTCTCACCTTTGTCCTATTTGGTGTCTCACCTTTGTCGTGTGGGTTGTCTCACCTTTGTCCTATTGGGTGTCTCACTTTTGTCGTGTGGGGGTGCCTAACCTTTGTCGTTTGGGGTGTCTTACCTTTGTGTTGTTGGGTGTCTCACCTTTTGTCCTGTGGGGCGTCCTACCTTTGAATTACTGGGTGTCTTACCTTTGTCCTTTTTGGTGTCTCAATTATGTCTCACCCTTGGGATGCCTCACTTTTGTCCTTTGGGGCATCCTACCCTTGTCTCGTGGGGTGTCTCACCATTGTCCTTTCGGGTATCTTACCTTTGTCCTATTGGGTGTCTTACCTTTATCCAGTGAAGTGTCTCATCTTTGTCCTTTGGGGTGTCTTACCTATGTTCAGTGGGGTGTCTTATCTTTGTCCTATTGGGTGTTCTACCTTTGTGCTATTGGATGTCTTGCCTTTGTCGTGAGGGGTGTCTCCCCTTTGTCGTGTGGGGTGCCTAACCTTTGGGGTGCCTCGCCTTCATCGTGTGTGGTGTCTTACCTTTGTCATATTGGATGTTTTAAAATTTTCCTATTGGGTGCCTTACTCTTGTCCTCTGGGGTGACGAAAGCCAGGTTTTCTGTAGTGGAGCAACAGTCTGGCCGCTTTCCGATGCCCAAGAACGATAGGGTGGACAGGGGTGTCTTACCTTTATCCTGTGGGGTGTCTTACCTTTCACCTCTGGGGTGTCTTACCGTTGTCCTGTTGGGTGTCTTACCTTTGGGTGTTCCACCTTTGTCCTGTGGGGTGTCTTACCTTTGAGGTGTTCCACCTTTGTCCTGTGGAGTGTCTCACCTTACGTCCTGTTGATCACCCTACCTTTGTCTTATTGGGTGTCTCACCTTTGTCCTGTGGTGTGTCTCACCTCTGTCCTCTGGGGTGATGAAAGCCAGGTTTTCTGTAGTGGAGCAACAGTCTGGCCGCTTGCCGATGCCCAAGAACGATAAGGTGGACAGGCCTGAAAGGGAACACGATGGACAAATAATGTCAGGGAAGCCAACAATATTGATATTTCTCTTACGCTCGATTCCCTTACTTTTTCTTTCTTTTTTTTGGAGAGAGAGAGAGAGAGAGAGAGAGGGAGAGGGAGAGAGAGAGAGAGAGAGAGAGAGAGAGAGAGAGAGGGAAGGCCAGAGGCAGTTTCTTGCTGCTGCTGCTGCTGCTGCTGATGATGATGATAACTAGACCTATTACCCCAAAAGATGATGATGATGATGATGATGGTGATGATGATGATGATGATTATAAATAGACCTATTACCCCAGAAGATGATGATGATGATTATGATGATGATGATGATGATGATGATGATGATGATGATGATAAATAGACCTATTACCCCAGATGATGAGGATGATGATGATGATGATGATGATGATGATGATGATGATGATGATGATGATGATGATAAATACTTATTCTTAACTTGCTTTACTGTACAACAGCCCAGAAGCATTCTCAGCTTCCTGGGAAGCATTCAGTGCAAGCTGTTTTTAAGGGCCCTGACGTTAACAAACTGTCAAGATAAATAATATATTTCCAATGACTTTTTTCATATTTGACCACACCCTCACAGGGAGCTATGGTCGCCTAGAGGTTAAGGTGTTCTCCTCTCATTCAATAGGTCCCGGGTTCGAATCCGGATGGCGACGGGAAATTTTCTTCTCTAAAATTGTCTCCTCTCAACTACTTTACTGCTCTTTAAAAATGTTCTGTCGTCTGCTTTCGTCTCCACTTTCTGCCCCCACCCCCTCACCTCTTTTACCCCCTTCTCTGGGCTTCTGACTCTTTCTGCAGCCTTTCTTCTGCTACTCCTTGGCTCCTTCTAACTGCTGGTTTCCAGCCAAATCCCAGATTTTATGGTAGGAAAGATCTATACTTAGCCTTCTCGGACAAGGGCAAAACAACTCGGAGGTCCTGTGTGCAAGTTGCGTACGTTGAAGATCCCTTGGTGGTCCAAAATCAATCAGAGTAGGCTTCGGCTGCCGCCCGGGGAAAAATTCAAAACTGAAAATGTCTAATGCCTCCCGCCTGCTCACATGACCTTATGCAATTGCAAGCACAGTAAAACACTTACCTCACCCCCCCCCCCCCCACCCCACCTCCTAAAAAAACAACAAAAAACAAACAAACAAAACAAATTTTAAAAAACCCAAACAAAAAACAAACAAAAAACCCCCCTCCCACTCACCTGTGTAGTTACATCGTATGTTCAGATAGGCGGAGGCGGGCAAGTGGACCGGCAGACGTGTGAACGTGGCGAGAAGGGTAAGGTCAAGAGATGGTTTTGTGTGACCGTTCTGTTGGGAAAGTGGTGGAGTTTATTTACCATACACAGAGGTACCATTAAGGCGGGAAGGAATCCGGCGGATGGACGGGGTGGGGGGGGGGGAGGTTCGGTCGAGCAACGCGTTAGACTGACAGACAGATAGATAGATAGATAGATAGAATGATAGATAAATAGATAGCCAGGTAGATAGATAGCGAGTGAGAATGAGAGAGAGAAAAAGAGAGAGATAGAGAGAGAAAAGAGAGAGAAAAGAGAGAGATAGCGAGAGAGGGAGAGAGAAAGAGAGAGAGAGAGAGAGGAAGAGAGAGAGAGAGACAGACAGACAGAGAGAGAGAGAGAGAGATAGAGTGGAAATGTTTTTCTATCTGTATAGAATTAATGTTTTAATGAATGTTTCTAGTTACTCACGTTTCAACTGTATTTTGACTGTTCGTGAATTTATATTGCATTGTATATTTTTAGTGAACACATTTTCAACCTCACTGCGAGACTGTTTTTCTGGTATAAAATTTTACACATATGCATTTATATTATATGTATAATACTTTGTTTTACGTACACATTTGTGTCGATTAATTTTTAAGATGTGATGTCTTTTTCATTGTAATGCGCATTGAGCATCTTTTAGGAAATGGAAATGCGCAGTGTAAATGCTATTTATTATTATTATTATTAGATAGATAGATCGATAGATACTTTTGAGTAGAATCAGGGAGCCATTTTAGGAACAATTACAAAAAATGTCATAAATTTACTGATGGACAATTTTCACGCCTCTCCAATCATACTCTATGTGTTACTACATTGATGATGGTGATGATGATGATGATGATGATGATGATGATGATGATGATGATGATGATGATGATGATGATGATGATAACTTATTCTTACCGTGGCTCTAAGCCCAGCTAGGAGGAGACAAATGAGAACTGTGATTGACTCTGACATGGTCAAGCGTGGTGGCCTAGCTGACGGAGCTACTTGAGTGAGCAAAGTTGAGCGTTCTCCTTGTCTCCAAAGGTCTCTGGATCACAAACTACAGTTTTAGTTTAGTTTTAGTTACATTTTTACTGCAGTTGTAACACGATAAGACCGAAGAAGTGCCGAAGATTAGAGGTGTTATAAGTGAGTAACAAACACAAAAAAGGAGGAGAGATAATGGCAATTGATGTAGGATATTGAAAGAAGGAGCAAGCTAAATCAGAGCACCCGCCCTACCAACCACCCACAAAGTACAATTTCAACAAAATGCTACATGTACTTTGAAACCACTTACCTAGCACGCTCAAACAGTCTTGGACAGACACGCCTTGAAAATCCAGAGCAAACATTCAAGGAATTATTAGCATGGACATGTTTGGAAACTGCCTTATGAGTAGTCGCGTTCTTCAACACCATCAAATATCACTGGGTTTTTTAAAACTGTAAATCACTCCTCATATACATAGCTACGAAGCAATGGTCGTAAATGTTTCACACCCAACTAACACAATCTAGATAATCTATGGGGTGGTCTGCTTCAACTCTGTCTGCCAGAGCTAATAACCTGTGCTGAATTGGACCAAAGATACCACATGTATACCAACTTGGGGGGATACAGCTTCGATGCAGGTATCATGGAAGTTTTTTTGTTTGTTTGTTTTTTGTGATCCGACACAGAGATTCGAATTCTGGGGTTTTTAAAATGTGTGTCCTCCGAGCTGAACGTGTTTGCTAAGAGAACTTTTTCCAAAAGTGTCTACTCTGCTAGAGGGCATCCATATTACATGTATTATTGCCTGCGTCATTCCAGAACCCCTCAACTCAGTCTATAGTGGGTTCCCCAGAAAAATCAGTTTTTAGAATAAAAACTTCAAGGGACATCTTAGATCATTATAGTTTTATTCTGTTTCGTGATCACCTTTTTCTATTTCTTAACTTAAACAATAATGGAATTTAAAAAAAAACCTGCAACAACCAAAACAAAACAAAAACCCAATCCAGAACAAAAACAAAAACAAAACAAGACGTAGATGCTTGCGCAGTGACGCTGATGATACTATATATAGAAATCTTGATTTTCGTCGACTTCAAGTGGCTGTGGCTTTCTTTTGTCAGCTGTGATCTCCTTTCAACAATGTCCTCTACGCCTGATGCACAAAAATCAGTCCAGTCTTCAAAAGTCGGGAACCATAGTCGGCCAGCTGCGGTCAATGTGACAACTTTGGTTAGATGTGAATTTCCGCTCCCGTACCCCCACGGGATCCCTAAACCATACCATTTTAGAAACCACACCCAGTGAAAAAAGCCTTCAGTATGTGAGGCAGAGGGTGAAGTGTCTAAACATAAATGCTTTTTGCAAGGTACAAGTTAGGATGAGACGTCGTTTGTACAGAGAGTACAAATTAAGACCGCCCTCTGAAAACTATTATTTCAAATCTGAAAAGAAAAGTCTTCGTCTCCCCAGCGACAACACTGAACTTAAGTCTTACGAAGATTTATGTTAAAGTACGTAACGGATGAAACTTTTAAAGGGAAATTATATAACTTGTAAGCAGTTTTCAGCTTATAACATCAGTCCAGTCGAAAAACAAGGTTAATTCATACAGCTCGCACCTGCTATTTCACAGTGTGAAAGGAATTTTGTTGATGGATTTTACACAAATTGAGCAATAATTGAGACAGAAAACCCCCCAGCATACACTTAATTCAGCTGTCAAATCACAAAAAGAATCATTTTCGCGG